AGTGTGCTGTTCTGTTGAACGGGTGGATGCCGGGGGGCACCACCCCCTTGGCTCTTTCTTCAGAATGTTTCTGTGTCCAATCGAGGGTGGAATTGTTGAGCTGCAACATTAAGACAGTTCATTACTGAGCACTGTTCTTATGCAGTAATTAGCATGACTAGAAATGGATGTTTAGTAGCACTCTTGTACTGGAGCTCAGATTGCGCAGACGTAGTTACTTTAATGTGTTAAAATAAGAATAAATTTTTATATAAGATGCCCACTGATAAAGTAGAGGGGCAGCAATCTTATACGTATTAAAATTACCTTGTTCTCAAGTTCTGCATCACACTTGTGAAATTGGACTTGGTGCTTCCTAACTGTACTAAAAGAGAGTGTTGTGCTTCATATCTTATATTACTGAATGTCAAAAAATAGACATGTAAATAATTGTTTGAAAACATTTATTGAAACAAAATAAGGCTAAAATACAATTGCCAGGGGAAAAACATAAATATACAATAAATTATTAGGTAGAAACATTTCAACACAATGTACATCTTTTCTGAGTCGTCACGGATGTGCAGAAGCTGCCAATAAAAGCAGATCCAATTAACTGTACTGATAGTTGGTCGGTAATAGCGACACCTCTTTGCATTTGGGTATCAACTTTGATCATTTTCTTTGCTCGATATACACATATACCCCTGAGGAATAGCCCATCTGAGCCTAGACACTCAGTAGCTGACTCAAATGCCAATCAACAGTTTGTCATTAAACCATGATAATAGGAAGCTAATCCTACCTGTCAGCATATTATTGTACCTGTGTTAAAGCAACATTTCTACATAAATCCAGGGATTCAATATAGCAGTCACACAAAATAGGCAAATTTGTAGCGTAGTTGAATTATTAATATTTACACTAAGCAATGTATTACAATGACATTTTATGTCGGAATTTGAATGTTCATTATAAAGGTGCAGTCAACCAATTGTTACAAAGCAGTGGCAAGTGAGTCAATTCATTCAGATTAGCATTTATCAGATTCCCACTTTCTTAACTTCTACAGTAGAAATTTATCATATACCTGTACATCATAGATCCAAACCAGATTAATAATGATCCAAGTAATAGCAGCAACCTAGTTCCACTTTTCAAATAACTAAACCCAACACCGAAAGTAAATGCCCATGATTCATTCCCAAGTGAGATAAAGTACAAATGAATCCAACTTGATATGAAAGTGAACATACAAATACAAAACAATGTATAAATTAATCAAACATCCGATTGTAAAAAAATAAAAAGTACCACGACACTAGCCCTTAATATTCCAAAAACCTATATATTTTTAGACAACCATATATTCTGATTTTTGTGCACACAGAAAATGTACATCTCGAAATAGAATCCAACTTTTCATATTTTCAACTCTCGTTAAATTCAAAAGGAGTTACCGTGTACAGAATGACTATACAGCTTATTTCTCAAATAACCAATCAAGCTAAATGTCTGAAAACAGTAGCAGCTTTGCATCCGTAGCATGTTGCTGTCTTCATAATACACGTGTGCCTTAGGTGGTCTATGCATTTAGCACATTTTAAAAAGCTTGGGCACGTTAGGTCCCGACCCCAAAATTTTGGCCTAGTTTTTGAATCATTCTGCAAGCAGGCAAAATCCCAACCATTGTGAAATTGCATACATAACAAAACAATCTACTTCTAAAAACAGAACCGGTCACAGGTTAATTTAAGTGAATTCATATTGACACATTAAAAATGGCTTAAGAGCAACGTCAGCACTTTTGATGCCATTGAAAAATTTTAGTGATGCTGCTCGTATTGGGAAAAAAAATTGAGTAAATAAACTAACTTATGTTTGGTAACAAAATATGAACAATCCTGATAATATTGACTGTTTGGATGCAGAGACCAAGAGAATATACTGTATTGGGCCGGCCACTGAAACAAAATGAATACAAATGGAGAGTTCTGTGAACCTCAGAATTAACTTCTTCAGATATTGCAGCCGACAAGCTTTGGGTCCTTGTTTTAGACCGTGCATAGGTGGCGAACTCTGGTCCTCAAGGGCCACTATCCTGCATGTTTTAGAGCAGTGGTTCTTAACATGGGTTCGATCGAACCCGAGGTGTTCGGTGAATCAGTCTCAGGGGTTCGACAGTGGTTAAGACCACTGGACTCAACATGTCAATTACCAGTAGTTATGACACGCCCACTTGGCCATCACTGGCTGGTTCATTTTGTGCACAATTTAAAAAAAACTTGTACTTTATACTTCTACTAATTGTGTTTACTTTTTTCTGTTTTTAATAAATGCGTTTGTAAAAAAGAACATTTTTATTTTTCACTAATGAAGGCTTTGGTGAATGTGCATATGAACTGGTTGGGTTCTTAACCTCTAGGAAGGTTAAGAACGACTGTTTTAGAGATTTTCCTCCTCCAAGACACCTGATTCAAATGATCAGGCTCCAGCAGATCCTGATGAGCTGATCATTTGAATCCGATGTGTTGGAGGGGGAACATTTAAAACATGCAGGATAGTAGCTTGCGAGAAATGCAGTTTGACACCTGTGTATGCTGCTTGAAAAAGTATTGTACTCGTCAGAATTAACTGCTTGAAATCGATGCAGTGCAAATCTTTCCCTTGCTATGAGTTTGCTATACAATGACATAATCTACACATTACCATCATATACGGCTACATAACCATCTGATTCTACCACACTGTTGGCAGCTAACCAGCTAAAAACAGGCACTGTCTCCAAATGGTACATTTATTAACAGATACGAGCAAAATGTTCTTGGGAGGAGCATCGATTAAAAAATACAAGAGCACTGAAATTATTACATAGCCCTTATATACAGCAACAACAATCTGTGGATTTAAAATGACAATACGGATTCAGTGTTGCACTAGGGTTGCTTCCAACATGGCAAAGCAGCGAGCTGATGAGATGCAGAATGCATTACCAGTGCACCTTTAATCATTCTTCCATGGGAAGAGATTTATAGCAGAATTGAGCACGGAATTGTTTTCTTTTTCTGTAAAGTAAAAAAAAAAAGGGGGGGGCGGTATGTTCGATGTTTCGGAGTGACATTCACAATGGTGAAGTTTTAACGTCATTGCCACTGAGAGAAGTCTATTTTGAGATTTAGACATCAAGAGTGATCACACTTGTAAGAGCAGCAAAGCAAAAGCTATGTTGAAAAATTAGTGATACCATGTCAGTCTCAGGCAGGTTGTTGGTGGCATGGCATCAAAATCAGTCTTTTTGAGGTGGAAAACAATTGCTGGCTAGTTTCAAGAAGAGATTATCAGTCTCTCATTGTCCAGAAAGTCATTAGAGTTCATCAGTATAGTGGGTTTTTCATGTGATTTAATCAATAGTTCGCTAGCTTTTAAAGTCCCTGCCACTGACTTATCAGTAACTACGATGTATATGGAGCGTTAGATTAGTAACAAAAGCACAAGTCCGAAATCTAACTACAGGTGTACACTTCCTTATTTTGTATTTCGCTAACGGTTAAGTTCAAACAGATATGATGCAATCAGCATTTACATCTTGGGCTTTACAATTTTTCTTGGACTATCGCTCCTTTTGCCCACTGCTTGCCAATTGACACTGGCGTAAAGTTGCAAAATGGACACCTGGCAATGAGTTTTTCTGTCCCCGACTGCAGTTCTGCATCAGTTTGTCAAGTTGAATGGTCATCACACTGCTGTACGTGTATTGTATGATTCAACTTATCCATGCCAGTATTGGTTCTTGACAAACCATACAGCATAAGGCCTGCTGCTACTATTATCACTGATGAAAACACCAAACTCCTAAAGCCGGCGTGGACGCAAGCCAGGAACAGTATCCAGAAATGGCTACCCTAGATTGAACTGCAGCCGATTACAAACTTGCCTGGTGGAAATTTCGCAGTGCTGCTTCACTGTCAATTGGAGGGACATGGGAAAATGGAGTGATACAATACACTTACAAAATTTGCAAAGCTTAATATGTCAACGGGTGATCGGCTCAGGTCTGTCCAGAGACAAAAGGAAGTCTATATCAACTGTGGCCACCCTGTATGATCAACAAGAACAAGTCTTAACAATCAAGTTTATGATTTGAAGGGGTTTCCACCATTAAAATATGCCAAATATTTTCCATATTTATCGCCATAAAGTTGACTGCAGCAGTTGAGAAGTTCCAGTCCTCATACTACTCGCGGTGCATTTGACAGAATAGCATTCAAGCACGCGCCGTGTGTTCTCTCTCTCTCTCT